TATTCTTTGTGCACTTCTTAGCAAAAGTAATGAATGCAAATGACTGAACACCAACTCTACATGTGTTTCCAGTTCTACAACTGTTACTTTTCAAAATCGTTAAAGAAAGCGATTTGATAGGGATAACTAAAACTTTTATTCTATAAACATAGATGTAGACTTACTAAATGAGGATGATTAAAATGGTTGACCTTATATGCATGTGTTATATGGTGTATTCATGCTAGGACTATATAACTAGAATAATTTTGTACTAATATTGGCATCCACAGTTCACTTTAGCGCAATCGGAATTTCCAAAAAATAGAAAAAAAATATCAGTAGTTCCTGTTTAGACGATATTTATGATTAAAAACATTCATTAGACGTTTCAGACAAGACTGTCTACTTTTATATAAAAAGAAAAAAGACAGCTTTACAAAATATCGTCCCTATTGAAAATAACTTGGCATTGGGTCCATGGTCCACAGTTGCGTCCTCAACACCGCACCTCAGCCGCCTCTCAATGACTAATGCCAAGACTTGATTGGATGAGAACGAACAGCTCCCGGCTCGCTCATTGGACCGCAGGCTCCCCTCACTCTCGGTAACTGGCACAGCTTAGCTCCAGCACCCTTTGTTAATAATACTTCCTTCCTTTCTCACTGGCCCTTACATTTTTTCACCTGTAATTTTAACCGTCCTTAGCTAGCTGTATGTGTGTATGAGATCAGCACTCACTGATCCTCCAGCAGAGCAAGCCCACAGCAAGCAGCTCCAAGCCTACCCAGGCCTTAGCCGTTGGGGGAGCCGCCACGGCTCTCCCCATCCAGACAATGGTAGATGCAAATCCATTGCCATACTGGTGACATTCCGGAGTGACACAAATAACCAGCCTTCTGGAGTAACACGGCTATCGCTTACTCACTTAGCTCCCTCACTGGGAGTACCTGTAACCGACCCCCGCAACCTGCAGCGCAGCATACTTTCCCCAGGTTGGGTCCATGGTCCACAGCCGCATCCTCAGCACCTCATCTCAGCCGCCTCTCGATGACTAATGCCGAGACCTGATTGGATGAGAACGGACAGCTCCCGGCTCGCTCATTGGACCGCAGGCTCCCCTCGCTCCCGGTACCTGGCACAGCTTAACACTACTTAACACTGTGTCACCGGCCTCCAGCATCGTTGATGGGCGGTTTTTGCAGCAGTAGCGGAGTGTCGTCGTTGTTTATGGAGTACGCCTCCAACTAGGCTGATCTTTCGGCCACACTTTTGACACCCATCTACCCAGATGTCAACCACAAGCGTCACCATCACTTCAAGAGATGAAGCCTTGCTTCGTCACCACTTTCCCGAGTTCGCATGAATAGATATCCTTCCTAAATATTCCTTATCATTAAGTTAACTATAAATGGGCGGCGTCAGCGGAACCCGTTCCACCTCGTAATAAGAGGTGGTAAATTATTAAAAAAAAAAAAAAAAAAAAGGACCGAGAGACGACTCTCGGCCGCGGCGTCAACATCTCTCCAGCTCTCTCCCACCACAGGACGAAGATTCAGCTCCGGCACGAGTTGCCACCTACCATCAGATTCTCTTTTCGCGGATTCATTTCAAGATGGCTTTCTGCTAACGAACCATTGCCTACGGAAGGATAACGTCGAGATGTCTGCGGTCGCCGGGAGACGGGCCACGCCGAAGAGTCGCCTCCACCTGACCGGGATACCCTAGGACCTCTGCAGAGGCATCTTCGTCGTTGGCGTGACGGGGCGACCACCGTCTTCGCTAATACTCCCTTCCTTTCTCACTGGCCCTTACACTTTTTTACCTCTATTTCTAACTCCCTTTAGCTAGCTGTGCGTGTGTAAGAGGTCAGCACTCATCGATCCTCCAGCAGAGCAAGATCACAGCAAGCAGCTCCATGCCTACCCGGGCCTTAGCTGTCTGGGCAGCAGCCCCAGCTCTCCCCGTCGATCTCCAGCACCCAGCCATACCTGTGGGCACTCACATCCATACCAAACACTCCTTAAAGAGATGATTGACACCAGTCAAATTGTGGATGCAAACCCATTGCCATAATATCACAAAGTACACCACATACACATGTGCATATATAGAGGATCATTAGATTTCCTGAAAATGTAATAGTGAAAACTAACTTTGGCAAGTGTCCAAATCTCCAACGGTATTTTCTGTTCCTTGTTTACACCTCTGATCTCAAAAGAACTGTATCGAACATCTACTGTTTCATTTTTGATCCGATGGTAGCCATCTTGGTAGGACCACTTTGCAGTAGAATTATATTTGTATAGTACGCTTAGAGCAGAGAGATTAAGAAATCTTGCATTTTATGATCATGTGTGGTATAGGCAGGATGATTTGGTGTCTCTGGTAGTTTCTAAAAAGGCCATTTTGTGTTTACACTACTGAAGGGGAGGGTCTGCCTGAGGTATGAAAAAAATTAAAATACTCAGAAAAAATAATATTTGGCAAGATTCCTCTATATGTCATGAAAGATTAAAAGTGGATTAAGCAAATATAAAAATACAGTTTACTTTGTCTAACCTAACACTCCGCCCATAATATAATGTGTGTTTCATGACCTAAATGATCCCTTTTCAATGTGTATGGATGTTAGGTGAGAGTTGCAATGTAACGAACAAATATGTAGTCAACGTAGGGGGACCACTTTTGGCTTCAAATTTTACCGCCCGAAAACACAAGTTACTTGATCCAGTTTTCTCGAAGTCAGAGGTTTGCAAAAGCTTCTGTACCATCCAGCGTTCGTTAACTTGCTATGTTGCTTTCCCATTAGAGGGCGCTAGGCAAGTCGAAGCCTGATTTTTAAATTTCGAAATAAAAATACTGTGTAGATTAAGGAAAAAAAAAAAAAAAAAAAAAAAAAGTGATCATCAGCCCCCTCGACTTTCGACTTATCCTTTCCTGGCTCTCCCCTATGGGAGAGCGAGGATGCAACGAAACATAAGACAAAGTGCAATTCTGTACTCTATAATAGGCAAAAAATATAAGTTCTTGATATGATAGTTGTATAAAATTTTATGAAATGTTTCTGTTCTGTTTTGGCAGAATATGAGGTACATGTTCTTCCTATACAGGAATTTTTTTCATAATGAAAGTCCTCAGAAAAAAAAAAATGGTAAGAATATTCAGCATATCCCAGTCATTGATGTGTATTGACTGAGGGAGTGAATATCTTCAAAGCTATTTTATGCCGCTTAGGATTAACCTTATACAGTCAAAACTATCAAAGAAAATCCTATGAAAATTTTGATTTATTGATATATGACAAGCCGGTAAATGTCTATGATTGTTGGAATCATCCTTTTGTGTGGCATTAGGACTTGATGTGAACGTGGATGCGAAACTTTAATCAAAATTACTTCCACTTTCCATATGAAGAACAAAGAATGTACAGTAATTAAATGGAAAATTAATTTGAATCACAAAAATACTTTTGTTTCTAAGTTGCCCAGCCTTGCGAAGCGATGCTACTAGCACTTCCATAATTTTTTGCTTGTTATGAACAATCTTACCATTGTGTTAAGCAATATCACGGCTTTCTAAGTGCGTTCTTGTGTCAAACAAAAACAAAGGACTATTTTTAAACTTTACCAAAAATGTTTTGATAGTCTCTTGTGTTTTGTATGGACCGCGAGCCAACAAAAGACCAATTGTTACATTCACTACTTACGGGGATTTTATGGTGTGTTCTCACTTCGCTTTCCATTTTTTTCAGAATCTTAATGGAAAGCTTATTTCAGAATCACAAGGGAAGGCGGCATCGAGGCAGAGGAAGAGCGCGAACAGGGAACCCAGGATCCAGAAAAAACGGGAAGCCATCGTCACCCGCTTCTCTGGAAGCATAATATAGTTTCAAGGTGTACATATACACTTACATAGTGCACACATATACATTACAAATATGTATAAAAAGTGTATATAAACGACATATCAATGTACTAAACAGGTAATTTATCAATAAACTCTCCAACCGTGTCAGTTCCAAGGAGGCGTCACAGGTTCTTTCGGGAGCTCCAGCGGACAGAACACAGCGCAAATGAGCTAAGAAAAGCAGGCACAAGGCTACCTTTGAGGCGATCTTGCTCCTCTGTCTCTCTTACTGGGGTCAGAGAGGCACGTGATTTATACCTTGGAGGTTCAATAGGGCCCCTATTCATAAAATTCATGATTAAGAACCAATCACGAATTCTATGTATCCGATGTAATATCTTAATCCAGTCATCGTAATCTTGGTTACTCAAGCAAACGATTCGAACTGCACAAACCAGGCTAGTTTGGGACAAGCAGTGAATGCCGTGAACACCATCAACAGCAAGGGAGTGATTGTTCTTTTGCTGTGTGATTGCAAGAAAGGAATGTTCTAGAGCATCAAACTCCTTATGGATTCTCATTCCCAGGGGCCAGATGAACAATATCAGCTTTGTTGCAGGTATGGGAATGGTCAGCACTCGGCGGCAAAAATGTACATTCTCGTGGATATCTGTACTCGTGATAAAATCAAAACGTGTTTAGAAATATAAAAGTGTACCGAGTATAACTGCTTTAAATGAGCAATTAATACTTTAAGAGACACAGCATTTGCAGGTAGTCATCCCCTGGTGCTGGACCCTTTGTCATGAGGACAGGCTGTAGGAAGCCATCCTTGCCTCTACCGCCATGTTGGTCAGCAGGTGATGGGTTATGCAGAGATTTCAATGCCCTTTTCCATATTTATGCCTGACAGCTTGCACGTTTAATATGCAGGAGCAGACTGTCTGGTGTGGGGGAGATTCGTTTCTTTGGCCTTTCTGACGAAGCAACCAGTGTCTGACTTTTTTCTCTGTTCTGGCAACCTCGGAGGGTAGGTACATGGAACGATCAGAAACTTCAAGATACGACTTTGTTCAGCTCTGCGTACTCACCAAGCAGTCTTAGTCTGCACTGATGCTCCTTGAAGTCCTGGTAGAACCTTGCAGACCTGACCTAGTCAGGGAGTGGACCAG